TAGTTTTCATATCATTCTAGTTACTTAAGGTATAAAGTTATGTAATTGCTTGCAATATTGCTTTTTTTTAAACAGAGACATTTATAGATCTAAATTTCTATCCATACACTGCCACTGCTGTATCCCATATGTTTTAGTATAGTGTGTTTATTTCATGTGTCTCCAAGTATTTTTAAATTTCCCTTGTGATTTCTTCTTTTACACATTGGTTGTTTAATAGTGCCCCATTTAATTTCTACATATTTGTGGGCCTTCCAGTTTTTTCTCTCATTAAATTCTGATTTCATTTCCTTGTGGTTGGAGAAAATAGTATACATGATTTCAGTGTTTTAAGATTTAATTCTTGGGATTCCTGGGTGGCTCAGCAGTTTGGCACCTGCCTTTGGCCCTGGGCGCGATCCTGGAGACCCGGGATCGAATCCCACATCGGGCTCCCGGTGCATGGAGCCTACTTCTCTCTCTGCCTGTGTCTCTGCCTCTCTCTCTCTCTCTCTTTCTCTGTGTGACTATCATAAATAAAAAACAAAACAAAAAAAGATTTAATACTTCTTTTGTAGCCTAAAATATGGCATGTCCTGAAGACTGTTCCATGTGAACTTGAAAAAATGAGTAATTTGCCATTATTGAGTGTAGCGGTCTATATATCTCTTAGGCCCAGTTTAAGTGTTAATAATGTTCTTTATTTCTGTATTGATTTTATGTCTCTATGTTCAACCATTTTATAAAGTGGAATGTTGACATCTTCCAGTATTATAGAACTGTGCATTCTCCCTTTAATAACATCAATATTTGCCTCAATAATTTTGGTCTTTGTTGTTTAGCACATAAATGGTTGTAATTATCAATCTTTTTGATGAATTGACCCTTTTATAAATTATAAAGACCTTTTTTCTCTTGTAACAATTTTTGACCTTATGTCAATTTTGTCTGCAATAACATCATGAGGGTGAGGTAAGGGGAGGACAGAATTATAAAGGATCAGAGTTTTGTGTGCTGTTAAAAGTACTCTGGTAATGATTCAAAGTAGTTTGTTGTACATTTAGGATGTTAATTGTAATTTCCTTTTTTTTTTTAAGATTTATTTATTTTTTCATGAAAGACAGGTTGAGAGAGAGGGAGGCAGAGACATAGGCAAGAGAGAGAAGAAGCAGGCTCTTCGCAGGGAGCCCGATGGGACTGGATCCCGGATTTTTTTTTTTTTCTTGTCAGGTTTGCTGTATCATCTTACATACTGCTGAAAGCAAGATTGTCCTTACACTGTAAGGGGCCAAGTCAGCAGTTATCAAAATTTCTTTTTGTGCACAGGAGATTTTAGTTACAACATTTGAGTTTGGAATTGTAACTTTAATCAGTTTTATATATCAGTAAATAGAACTATATACAATAATGCATGTTTATGCTGTCCCTCTAATATAATTGGGAGATCAAAGATCACTATTTTCAACTCAGTATCTATGTGTTTTTGGGAGACAAAACCCCTTTTATTTATTGAAGTACTTGCCTGTCATCCTAGATTTGTTTCCGCCTCCATATGTACTTACACATCCCCTTCACCACCATTCCCGACCCCGAATTCTCTTTTGCATATTGTGCAATTTGCCCTGTTGTATTTACCTCCCTAATCCAGGTGTGAATTCTCTTTTGCATATTGTGCAATTTGCTCTGTTGTATTTACCTCCCTAATCCAGGTGTCGCTGTGTCTTTACATCTGCCCTTATTTTGGTGATGTATGTATGGGTCATGCTGTCGTTGGTATTATAGTTTTCTGAACTCTCAGAACACAGGGTCACCATATGTACAATATTAAAAGTTAAACTAGCACTATGTCCGCACAGAGCAGAACCGTTAATCCACAAAACCAAAGACTGTTAATGATTATGACTGCCGTGATTTAAATGACACACTTGAAACGCATCTCTCCTGAGGGATGCAAGGATGGGTAAACCCTCAGAAGCCAGGGGAGAAAACAGCAACGGTGACTGGGGAAGGCACAAAATCTATGCCTCATCATCCAGTTGGGTCTAAAAAGCGACGCTGCTCACCGCCTTACTTTCTGAGTCGCCCTATAGGTTTCGCACTTTGCCTCAACTTTTCCCACCCATCTCCTCACACCCAGACCTTCGCGGTCCAGACGAGGATTTCCGGGGGCCTTCCTCAGTCTCCCCCCACCCACCCCCTTTGTCCCTTAGCCTCTATTCTGTTCCCCAGGTTCTCCTTTATTTTGTGCCTCGGTCTCTTTTCCCTGTCTCAGTTTTCCTTTTTCCATCACTCGGTCCCTGCAACACATCACTGTGGTCGTCCCTTCCCTTAGGCGGATTCTTATTGTTTTTAGCATCATTAGAAGTTCACGACACGTCTCTGCTCCCCTGCACCGCCCCCTAACTCGGCCTCCACTTTGGTCCCTCGGTGGAATTCTGGGCTGTCCCATCATCAGCACTTTTAAGTAGAATCCCCTACAAAAGGATTGCACTACTCCAAATTCCTTTTTCCCCAGTAAAGGACTGTACTACTGCAACTTCGCCCCCAGTCCTCCTGTAAGAGCTCTCTGCAAAACTTCGCACCTCACTGGTTTGTAGCATCCTCCTTTCAGTTCTTGCCCCCCTCCCCTCGCTGCCGCGGTGGCACCGTCCAAACGCAGGCCTACACCGAATTCCTCCGCCTGCACGGACCCGCCGGGTCCCCCAAGATGGCGGCTCCCACCACGAGCCCCCGCGCCTGGGAGCCGCCATCTTGCCTCCTGAACAAAGCCGCCGAGGATGCCGAGGGGGCGAAAGCGCTCTGTACGGCACGGCGCATGCTCGGGAGCCCCGCGCTGGGCTCTTCCAGACAGGAAGCGGGAGAGTTCATCAATCCACGTTAATCTGTGGCAGATGACGAGGGTTAGGCCGGGACTGACGTTTCGGGGCCTGATAATCGAGCTGGGGGTCAGAAGGGGGATTTATGGGTTGGGTCAGGAGGAAGTCTGGGGTTAGTACTGGGGCGGGGGTCTGCGGGAGTCAGTAATTGGAGGCCTATGCGTTCTGATGGGATGTCTGTGGGGTGAGTGTTGGGTACGTATAGGGGTCAGTAATAGGGAGAGCTGTATGATCTCTGTGTCAGGGGTTCCGCGCGGCCAGTGTTCTGTGGACCTGTGGTCGGGATTCAGTGCAGGTGCTCTTTGGGATTTGGGATTTCTGCGCCTGGGTAATTCGTTGATTTGTAGGGGTCATTAAAGCAGCCCCGGGCTGATGAAGGTCAGCTCTGGTTTGGTGGGAAAGGCCTCACTTTACCATTTCTGCAGGTCCGAGGCCGCCCCCAAGGTGAAGCCCCACCTCGGATGTTTTCTCAAACCTCCCATCGCCCTGGATCCCTCGCGTCCTCAAGGAAGAAAACGTCCTTCCAACGTGAGAGCAAACAAATCTAAAGGTCTACCGTGGTTAATTCTCTCTAGCCGAAGACCCCCAGAACACCCTGTAGTTGAATTAGTTGAGTTTATGGCTCTAGCATCTAGTTGGGAACGCGCGCACCGTGAGGAAAGTGGGGGCTTCTCCGTAAGAGGGTCTTAGAACTTCTTCTAGGATTTCTCCTTGTTAGGTGATTTTGGGGAGGGCCTAAGGGGGTGGGCCTTGCTCTGACTTGGATGTTGTGAGGAAGTGGAGGAATTCAGTGTTGGGCAATGTCCATGAATCTAGAGAGAGGAAAGACTGCCCTGAAGCTGAAGCTGTAATAGGTAAGGAGGTAGCAGTAGCTCCTGTTAACTCGGAGACGGGGTTGGACCCTGCTGGTGCTTTGGGTCTATGTTCAGACATGATTTTGGAGAGGTCTTGTTTCTGTCTTGTTCCGTCATGGTCACAGAGTGGCCTTGTCTGATGCTGATGTTCTGGGTAATGATGTTAAATAAGAGAATTTGAGTGCCAGTTTTTTTTATTTTTCATATATGAGGTGCGATTTCAGCCCTGCATCTTTCTGTCTATTGAAATTGTTCTATATTCTGTTCAGCAAACATTTATTAAAACACCTGCTTTTTACTTATTCCACAGTTTGATGTCCAGAGAGGAGGATTGATGGTTTTCCTTCGAGGTTGATTTTGAACAAGCCTGGGATAACCCTATAGGAAACTATCTACCTTTCATGGGAATACTCACTTCTTGTGAATGAGTTCAGTCTTCTCTGTGTGACCCATCCTGGGACTGAGAAGAATTTACCAGGTAAGTATCTTTCTGGATTGTAGTATATTCCTGTTTCAAAGGTTCTAACCTGACACTATTTTCTTACGTAGGCAACCGCACTACTGAATATCAGCCATACAAACTTAAACAAAAAACATGCTAAAATCAAGGTTTATTTATTTATTTATTTATTTATTTATTTATTTATTTATTTATTTATTATTTATCTATCTATTTATTTAAGATTTTAAAAATTTATTCATAAGAGACACAGAGAGAAGGGCAGAGACATAGAGGGAGAAGCAGGCTCCCTCCGAGGAGCCTGAATGTAGGACTGGATCCCAGAACCCTGGGATCACCACCTGAGCCAAAGGCAGCCACTCAACCACTGAGCCACCCAGGTGTCCCAAAATCAACAGTTTTAATCTGTGAATTTTGATTTGGCAAGAGAATTTGCTGGGTTAGGGGAAAATATAAAAGAGTTCTTAGGATTTTGCCAGCTGCTTGTGACTAGGGAATATGGGTGCATTCCTTGGTTTTCTACTTGGTTATTATCAGGGAACTGCTCTGTCTTCAGTTAACTCTTACGTATATATGTATACATGACTATTGTCTTATTTAGAGTCTTACAGATAGAATTACAAAGAGAATTGCTAGTTCAAAGGGGAACAATAAGGTGTTTGTATATCAACAGAAATATCTGCATTCAACCAATTAAAAATATACCTTCTACAAGTTCTCTGTGATCATATGATCACAAGAGAACTTTTTTTTTTCACATGGTGCTTACAGACCCTTCTACAGCATGGCCTGTTTCCCATCTGACTTCTATTGGTGGTTGTTTCTAGACTGGTAAATGGCTCCTGGAGATATAGTCTGTCTTTCAGTCCTGATTCCTCACACCTCTGCTCTTTTGGAAGAAAAACAGAAAATGACCAAGTCTCATGTGAGTTGCTTGCTTATTTTGTAGTTAGTTTCCATATAATCAAATGGAAAAGTGCAGAAAACTAAAAATTAGAATTAGGGAAAACGTAGAACAAAGACTTGGAACGAGTTGCTGTATAATATGTAGATTATGTGCTTTTAAGCCACATAAAATAACTATTTAGTTCATGTATGTATATATAAGTCTTATATAGATATAATATACATTATATTTACATTGTGTTTATTTTATATAAGTATGTAATAAAGTGCAAATTTGAAAAAAATAAAGTGCAGATTTGTTCCATCTTTTCTAGCAGCCACAGTGGAGAGATAGAGGACATCCTATACATGATTTGGCATTCTCCACAAATAGAAATCAGCTCAATTTTCAATGAAAGTATTTCTTGCCTTTAGGACAAAAGAAATTTCTTTTGGGAGGGTCTTCTTTAGATGATGTCCTGATGTTCTGCATAAATGGGTCAGTAGATTTTTTTTGTGATTGTGTCTTTAAATATTTTTTTTAGAGGGCAGTTGTCATAATCTTAGAGCTGAACTCCATAAACATTATTCTTTGAGGAACTAAGGTACATTTTATCCAGAGATAAAACCTAGATAAAATGGAATGATGAGTATCTATTTGTCTCTAAAGTAATTATTTCTTCCAAATAGGCAGTTCTTTACCTAAAATTCACTGGCAAACACTTGGAGCACAGGGGTCTCTGATTCTCCATAGCCTTGCTATGGTCTCAGGGTTTGTGAGGATGCTCCTCAACTGAATGCCAGTTTTTGGTCCCCCCCCCCTTTTTTTTTTTAGTTTATAAAATCATTTTACTATTTTTTGTCCTGGACTGAATTATCCCTACTTGGTAAAAACATTTTAAAAAATACAAAAAATAAAAATTATAAAGTGAAAGGGACCCTAGCATTTTCTTCCTCCTAGGATAACCAGTATTAATATGATGCTTAGATTTTTTTTCTCCATCTGAAAATTATTGATTCTATTGTTTTTAAAATGTGAAGTTTCAACTTCATTATTTAACTGATTGACTATCCAGTTTTCCCAATATCATTTGCCGAATAACTCATTTATTCAAAATGCTACCTTTATTGAATTCCCATTTGTGATTAAGTCTCTTTTGCTCTTCTGTTCCTCTGATGTGTTTGACTCTTTTTGCTAAATACAGAATTTTACATCATTTTTCTAAATAGGCATGATGTAGAACTGGGCATATGGTTTGGCATGCTATGGTAAAAATGAGAATGATCACTTCAGATTGAAATGGAGCATGCTGTTATAGGGTCCATTGTCGTTTGAGGATGTGGCTGTAGCTTTCACCAAGGAGGAGTGGCAGCAACTGGATCCTGCTCAGAGGACCCTATACAGAGATGTGATGCTGGAGAACTTCAGCCACCTAGTCTCATTGGGTAAGGATGGCTTCCCCAGATATCTCAACATCTTCTAATCCCATGCCTCTCTCTTCTCACTTGATCAAGTTGACAAGGTGGATGGGTTCCTGACATAGGTAATGACTAAATTTGTGTTCTTTTCTCTCTCCAGCAGAAGGTCAATGTTTTGCTGAGCCAGCTGGACAGCTTCACTGTGGGGCTTTTTAAATAGCAGCCTTTTTTTTTTTTTTTTTTTTTTTTAAGTAGATCTTGACTCACAACTCTGAGATCAAGACCTGAACTGAGATTAAGAGTCAGACACTTGACCAGCTGAACAATCCGGGTGCCTATCACCCTTTCTGTTTTCTTCAGTATAGTCAACCCAATTCCTCTCTGATTTCCCTGTAATAGGACATCCAGTTTCCAAACCAGATGTCATCTCAAAGTTGGAACAAGGAGAAGAGCCATGGATCATAAAGAGAGACATACCAAATTGGATCTATCCAGGTAAAAATCTGGCAGGTGGGAGTCAATGGAAGTGAAATCTCAGTTCCCTTGGTTTTGTTTTTAATTGGCTGGTGGCTGAGACTTATGCTTCCACTCAGGTTGGCAGCTCCTATTCTTTCTTGCTCCTCTGCTGAACATGTAAGTATTCAACAACTTGTTAATTAATCATGAAGAAAAGAAAAATTTCTCACCGAATCACTCAACAATCATATCTGTAGTGCCTTTCTAGAAGAAATTCAAAGGCAATAGAAGTCAGATGCTTTTCAGGACCATAGGTTATACACGGAAAGACAAGACATCAAAGTTCATGGCTGTATAAAATTGTATAACCAGTATAGTTAATGTTTTAGGAGTTCACTGAAAATTATAGTCTAAAGAGATGTGGCATAACTTAAGAAGGCATTTTTTCCAAGCATGAACCAGCTACTCTCAAGTATATTTGAAGGGTGGGTTAGGCAGGAGGAGGGTGAAGGTAAGCTCTAGCAGTGGATGTGTACAAATTCTTGGAGTTAGGAATCGTTATGGCTTTTCTGCAGGAATTTGCTAGGCTTAACTTCAATAAAAAATATTTATTGGGGAGTAATGGAATATAAACATGGATACAGAGTGTGAATACAGACAGTTAAAAGTCCATACTTGTAGCTATACCCTGAAATTTTGTTATTGTTTTATTTAAATGACTTTAAGAGGGGATCCCTGGGTGCCGCAGGTTTGGCGCCTGTCTTTGGCCCGGGGCGCGATCCTGGAGACCCGGGATCGAGTCCCACGTCGGGCTCCTGGTGCATGGAGCCTGCTTCTCCCTCTGCCTGTGTCTCTGCCTCTCTCTCTCTCTCTCTCTCTCTCTCTCTCTGTGACTGTCATAAATAAATAAAAAATTTAAAAAAAATAAATGAGTTTAAGATATAACTTACATGCCTTACAATTCACTCATTCAAAGTTAACAACTCTGTTTTTTTTTAACTCAGTGGTTTATAGTGTATTCACAGATATGTATAACGATTGCCACAGTCAATTTTAAAGTATTTTTATCACTTGCAAAAGAAATTATGTCACATTCCTGAGCTATCACACTCCTGCTCCCCATCTCCCAGACCTAAGCAACTACTACTGTCTGCTTTCACTCTCTGTTGATTTGCCTACTCTTGGTATTTTATTTAAATGAAATCATATTTAAAAAAATGAAATCATATAACATGTGGCGTTTTGTGACTGGCTTCTTTTGGTTACCACACCATTTTTGAGGGTTGTCAACATTATAGCATATATCAGTACTTCATTTCTTTTTGGCTGAATAATACTCCATTGTATGGATATACTACATTTGGTTGTACAATTATTAGTTAATGGATATTTGGCTTATTTCCACCTTTTGGTAACATGAATAATGCTACTATAAGCATTCATGTATGAGTTTTTGTGTAGACATACACTTAACTTTTTCTTTGGTATATACCTAGGCGTGGAATTGCTGGGTCATATAGGAACTTTGTGTTTAAGTAAAATGGTCTGTAATGACTAATTATATTGAATATATTTTCATCTGCTTGTTGGCCATTCTGCATCTTCTTTGGAAAATAGTCTGTTGAGATCCTTTGTCTATTTGGAATTGTCTTTTTATTGTTGAGTTGTAAGAATTCCTTATAGAGATAAAATTCTTATATAGAACTTATATGGAGCTTTTATGTAAAGGTTCTTTGTATGGATAAAGTGAATTTTATAGAGTTCTTTTTTGTTATTTTCTTCTGGTATTAATTTTATTATTAATTAGGACAGGCTAGATATTACTGTATTACAAATTAATCTCTAAGTGCCAATGCTTTAACACAACAGTGTTTGTTTCCTTTACATGCTACGTTTCCAACACAGTTCAGCAGGGGGCATGCTCTATATGCCTCAGGAATCCAAATTGAGTGAAGTTAACACCATCTGCAGTCCACTTTGTCACTGATACAGGGGAAGAGAAATCTGGAGGACTCTCATAGCTCTTCTTTGCTTTATGTAGATTGCCAGTTTACCATAAAAGGATGTAACCCAGAAACATCCAGATGCGGGGATTCATAGGGCAGGGTACGGGGAAAGGCCGCAGAACTTACTACATACCCTTCTCCTGGTGTATCACTCTCCCAGCACCTCCATGTGTTCACCAACCTGGAAGCTTCTAGAGTTCTCATTTGACTTAAGTCTCTTAACCAGACATATGATTTGCAAATACTTCCATCTTGTGGGTTGTCTCTCCACTCTCTTGATAGTATTCTTTCAAGCACAAGATTTTTTAATTTTGATGAAGTCCAGTTTCTCTATTTTTCTTTTGTTGTTTGTGCTGTTGGTGTCATGTCCAAGAATCTATTGCCGAATCCAAGGTCATGAAGATTTACCCCAAGTTTTTTCTAAAAGTTTTATACTTTTAGTGCTCTTACATCTAGGTCTTTGATCCATTTTGAGTTAATTTTTGCATGTGGTGTGAAGTAAGGGTCCAACTTCATTCTTTGCATGTGGCAATCCATGTGTTCCAGCACCATTTATTTAATTTATTTTGATTTTTATTATGTGTTTTTATTTATTATTTTTATTTTTTAAAAAGATTTATTTATTTATGTATTTATTTATTTATTTATTTATTTATTTATTTATGATAGACACACAGACAGAGAGAGAGAGAGTCAGAGACACAGGCAGAGGGAGAAGCAGGCTCCATGCCAGGAGCCTGACGCGGGACTCAATCCCGGGACTCCAGGATCGTGCCCTGGGCCAAAGGCAGGCACCAAACCACTGAACCACCCAGGGATCCCCCTATTTATATATTTTTTAAATACTAGTGTAGTTAAATACAGTGTTGTATTAGTTTCGGGTGTACAACCTAGCAATTCAGCAATTCCTTATATTATTTAGTGCTCATCAAGGTAAGTGTACCTTTAATCCCCTTCACCTATTTCACCCATCCCCTCACCCACCTTCCCTCTGCTCGACCTCTGTTTGTTCTCTATAGTTGAGTCTCTTTTTTGGTTTCTTTTTTTGTTTAGTTTTTTTTTTTTTTTTTTGTTCATTTGTTTGTTTCTTAAATTCTACATGGGAGTAAAATCAAATATTTCTCTGGCTTATTTCATTTAGTATTATACTCTCGAGATCCATATATGTTGCAAATGGCAAGATTTCATTCTTTCTTATGGCTGAATAATATTCCATTGATATACACAATATACCACATCTTTTTTATCCATTCATCTGTTGATGGACACTTAGCCTGCTTCCATAAATTAACTATTGTAAATAGTGCTGCAATAAACATAGGGATGCATATATCCCTTTGAATTAGGATTTTTGTATTCTTTGGGTAAATACCCAGTAATGTGATTACCGATCATAGGGTAGTTCTGTTTTTAATTTTTTGAGGAACCTCCATACTGTCTTGCATACTGGCTGCACTGGTTTGCATTCACACCAGCAGTGCACAAGTGTTCCTTTGCCTCCACATCCTCCCCAACTCTTGTTTTTTGAGCTTTTGAGTTTAGACATTCTGACAGGTATGAGGGGATAACTCATTGTGGTTTTGATTTGCATTTCCCTGATGATGAATGATGTTGAGCATATTTTCCTGTCTGTTGGCCATCTGGATGTTGTCTTTGGAGATATGGCTGTTCATATCTACTGCCCATTTTTAATTGGATTATTTGGATTTTGAGTATTGAGTTGTATAAGTTCTTTATATATTTTGGATACTAGCCCTTTATCAGATATATCATTTGAAAATATCTTCTCCCATTCTGTAAGTTGTCTTTTAGTTTTACTGGTTATTTTCTTTGCTGTGCAGAAGCTTTTTATTTTGATGCAGTCCTAATAATTTATTTTTCCTTTTTGTTTCCTTTGCCTCAGGAGACATATCTAAAAAGATGTTGTTATGGCAGATGTCAGAGAAATTATTGTCTGTACTCTTCTAGGATTTTTATGGTTTCAGATCTCACAATTAGGTCCTTAGTGCATTTGGGTATATTTTTGTGTAAGGTGTAAGAAAGTGGTCCATTTTCATTCTTTTGCATGTAGCTGTCCAATTTTCTCAACACTACTTGTTGAAGAGACTATCTTTCCATTGCATATGCTTGCCTTCTTTGTTGCAGATTAATTGACCACAGAATTGTGGGTTTATATCTGGGCTATCTATCCTGTTCTTTTGATCCATGTGTCTATTTTTGTACCAGTACCATACTGTTTTGATTACTGCAGTTTTGTAATATAATGTGAAGTCTAGAATTGTGATGCCTCCAGTTTTGTTTTTCTTTTCTTAATTGCTTTGGCTATGCTGGATCTTTTGAAGTTCCATACAAATTTTAGGATTTTTTTCTTCTAGTTTTGTGAATAATGCGTTGGTATTTTGATAGGGATTGCCTTAAATGTGTGGATTGCTTTGGGTAGTATAGAAATTTTAACAATATTTGTTCTTACAATCATTGAGCATGGAATGTCTTTTTGTTTGTGTTATCTTAATTTCTTTTATCAATGTTTTATAGTTTTCAGAATACAAATCTTTCATCTCTTTGGTTAAGTTTATTCCTAGGTATTTTATTATTTTTGGTACAGCTGTAAATGAGATTGTTTTCTTAATTTTTCTATTAGCGCCTTCATTATTTAATATGAATTATATATATTATATATAATATATATTATTATACATTTAATAGGAATGCAATGAATTTCTGTACATTGACAGTGTATCCTGTGAGTTTACTAAATCCATTTATCATTTCCAGAAGCTTTTTGGTGGAGTCTTTAAGATTTTCTGTATATAGTATTATGTCATCTACAAATACTGAAGGTTTTACTTCTTCCTTACTAATTTGGATGCCTTTTATTGCTGTGGCTAGTACTTCCAGTACCATGTTGAATAAAAATGGACATCCTTTATTCCTGACCTTAGAGGAAAAGCTCTCAGTTTTCCCACATTGAGTATGATGTTAGCTGTAGGTTTTTCATATATGGTCTTTATGTTGAGGCATGTTCCCTCTAAA